CCCCAAAACCCCAAAACCCCAAAACCCCGCGTGTTAATTATTAAAGATTTAGGAAAAGTTAAAGCATTATTAATAATATTTCACTGATTCCTTTAATAAACCTATTAACTATTTAAATGGAGAGCACTTATAAATCTGGATAAAATCCCTAAATCTACATTCTTTATGCCTCTGAAACTGGAAATTGTGAGTAAATCTCCTAAGATTTCTTTGAAACTTTCTCCAAAGATTACCCTAATGCAAAAAGGTTCGTGCTAAATGACCATTAGACATAGAAAAATGGCTAATCAGCATTTGATTTACAAAGTAAAGATGCTCTTAAAGTATGCATATTCCTCACCTCTTCAACCGGAGATGGAGACTCTCCAGATAATGGAGAGATTTTCCATAAATTTTTGAGGAAATAGACAAATCATTTAGAAGAGGGCTAACACTCTACAGCCTTAAGTCATGTATTTTACACAGTTTTAGGCTTAGGTGATTCCAATTACAGTAAATTTTAAGGAGCTCCTCGATTCCTTGATTCAAAACTAAAATAATTAGGAGCTCAAACATTTTATGATAGAGCTGAAGCTGACGAGGCAACAAGTTTAGAGTTAGTAGTTGAGCCATGGCTTGAAGGTCTCAACGATTCAATTAATAGTATAATAAGGAAGATAAAGAAATTTGACTAAGAGTATATCGATCAATTATTAACACCTATTGATGTAAATGAACATCAAGCTCAAGTTGATGGTCATGATGATGAAAATGAATCAATTAAAACTCCATTAATGACATATGGAAATATTATAGGTGGTAAGATAACTCCATGCTCACCAGATAGAGAGTTACTAGAAATAGAATTCAAAACTGACAAGCCTGTTTCTAGAGACCTAATTGATGTTGGCTCAGCATTTTCTTTTCTGCCATAAAATTCTGAAGAAACAATCAATTATGTGATAGAGAAATTTAAGTGGGATAGAAATGCCTTGATTGGAAACGATACAGTTTACGATTTGCTTTAAAAATCAGTTGACATTGTCAGTGAGAAATTGAAACTGAGCAAAGTATTGACAGATTACGATCTTTAGTTTTTGCCAGAAGAAGCCAAAGAAAGCAAGCACATCACTCTAAAAGATTTCTCCGAATATACAGTTAAATTTGATCAGATTCCATTCTCAATATTAGAGGATGATGTTCCAAAGATAAAAGAAAGATATTATTCTATCATAAATGATCCATTTTATGATGAAAAGGAGAAATAAGTTGTAGAGACTTCTCATACATTCAAGATATGCTTTGGACTCCACAAGTTTTCAGTTAGGGGTTAAAATAGATTTGGCTTAGCGACTAGTTTCATGAAAGATATTCTTGTAAATCAAGAATTTTCTAGGAAAATTAAAATGCATTTCAGTCATTCAAATAGAATAATTTATTTCCCTCACAAAGAGTATGTTCAGGAGCTAAAACCTTTGATATTTATCTGCCATGGAACAGGTATTACGCCATTTATTTCAATCCTAGAGAGAATAAAGAATATTTACGAAAGCCATGAAAGATTTGGGGACTTAATTATGCTTTTTGGAGTAAGAAGTGATACTGAGAACTTCCTGTTTAGAGAGCAACTTCTTGATATCTTTACCAAACTTAAGTTAAAGTCTGATTATTCATAATTATATCTAGCTTCAAGTCAAAGTTTGAGCGAAGAGACTTATAACGGGTTAGTAATTAAGAGGAAAGGTCATGTTTAAAGCTTCTTTGAAGATCAAAGTGTCAGAGATCGTATTAAAAATTATCTATTAGAAAAGGAGGGTTATCTGATGATTTGCGGAAATAAATCGACACTTGGATAGTCTGTTATTAAAGGCTTGAACGAAAAGTTTGACGAGCTATTCAGTCATTCCTAGTTAGATAAACTTAAATAGAGCGGAAATCTTTTGCTTGAATTATGGGATGATTGATTAAAGTAATGATTATTAAAAATTGATTCATTAATTTCTTGATATCACTTTAATGAGTGTAAGCTGGGGTTTTGGGGTTTTGGGG